AAAGGATATTGAGACTCTAGAAAGAGTGCAGAGAAGAGCAACAAAAATGATTAGGGGACTGGAGACTAAAACATAAGATGAACGGTTGCAGGAACTGGGCATGGCTAGTCTAGGGAAGGGAAGGGGCAGAGGAGACATGATAGCGTCTTCCAATATTTGAGGGAGGGGCTGCCACAGAGAGAAGGAAGGGGGCCAAGCTATTCTCCAAAGCACCTGAAGACCAGACAAGGAATAATGGATGGAAACTGACCAAGGAGAGATTCAAGCTGGAAATAAGGAGGGATTTTCTGACAGTGAGAACAATCAACAGACGTTGCCTTCGGAAGTTGTGGGAGCTTCATCGTTGGAAGCTTTCAAGAAGAGACTGGACTGCCATCTGTCAGAAATGGTGTAAAGTCTCCTGCTTGGGCAGGGGGTTGAACTAGATGACCTCCAAGGTCCCTTCCAACTCTGTTAATCTGTAATATATTATATCTCTTCTTTTATAACATGCACCCATTCTTCCTTCCTTCTTAGTAAGCCCAATTCTCTTATTGGATGGCTTACTATAACTTTTACATAGGTACATAGTCCTTGTTCCTGCTAAAACCTTTCGCCCCAAGTGCTCCTTAACACCAGTCTCAGAAACTGATTGCTAACGTTGCCTTTCTTTTTTCTTCGATTCCTCTGTGAAAACATTCCCCCGGCTCTCCTTGCGTGAGAAGCACCGTCTCAAGAAAGGCCCTTCCTTCCTTCCTTCCTTCCTTCCTTCCTTCCTTCCTTCCTTCCTTCCTTCCTTCCTTCCTTCCTTCCTTCCCAGGCTCTCTTCTCTTTTCCTAGCCTGCTCTCCAAATGGGCTGAATTCCATCCCAACTTCCATCCATCATGTCTCTATGGCCCGAGTCCAGATTCCCGGAGAGATAAACATGCCCTTTGAGGCAGCACCTGACCTGGTGTTAAAATAAAGCAACAACTGGTAGAGTGGAAGGGTGTTCCAGCCAGCACATACTTGGGTGATGGTTTCATTAGAGTTTGATAAAAGCCATGCAGTACCTTTGTAGCCAGACGACACTCCATCACCCTAATATTGAAATGAGAAGTCGCGGCCTTGTTCATTTCAACGCAACTGTTTGCAATCACAAAAACGGCTCCTCCTGGAAGCTTCACATCAGTGGCCTTCAGCGGATTAAACTCTATCAGCTTCGCCTACGGAGAGGAAGAGGAAGAGAGGAGTTTCAACTGGTAAGCCTGGCTGTGTTTCGGATCAATAAATCAACCCTTTTAGCTTGGGACATTTTTAGATAAAAGAGGTAGAAATTAGAAGATAAAAGGTTATTGTTATGTAAAAGTAAACGATGAAAGATTATTATTATACATAAGCAAGTGTTATTATTATCACTACTATGATTATTATTGGACGCCGTGGCTCAGTGGCTAAGAGGCTGAGCTTGTCGATCAGAAAGGTCGGCAGTTCGGCAGTTCGAGTCCCTAGCACTGTGTAACAGAGTGAGCTCCCATTACTTGTCCCAGCTTCTGCCAACCTAGCAGTTCGAAAGCATGTAAAACTGCAAGTAGAAAAAAATAGGAACCACCTTTGGTGGGAAGGTAACAGCATTCCATGCCCCTTTGGCGTTTAGTCATACCGACCACATGACCACGGAGGACAAGTCACGGGAGCTCACTCCGTTACGCGGTGCGTTGAGGATTCGAACAGCTGAACTGCCGACCTCTCTGATCGACAAGCTCAGCGTCTTAGCCATTGAGCCACCTTGCAAAACTTAAACGTGCCCAATTATGAGAGAATGCAAGATGACACTCTACATTTCCCCCCTCCTGATAACATCACATTTATTTCAGCTGTGTTGCATATTTTCTTATCGTGTCAATTATCCCAAAGCATCTCTTGAACCCTTTCCTGAATGGTTCAGGCGGTACATACGGTTCCTTTATCTGCCAGGAAACAGATGGCCTGGTCCATGCCGCCTCCTTCGGTGCCAATGTAACGTTCGCTCTTGCTGCACAGATCAGCCAGTTCCATCTATGGGGGCACAATGGGGAAGGCAGAGAGAGTTTATAGCAGGGCTGTCAAATCAAGGCCCATGGACCAGGTCTTGGTCTACCCGCATCTACCTAAATAAATACCAGGGCAACGCTGGATTATCAGATAGTTAATAATAATAAGGAATCAATAGGTAGACAAAAAATGCCAACTCCAGTCTGATCATCTGGCCGACTGTGCCACGAACCAAACTAAAATAAAAGAAGACAAGGTAATATCTGTCCAATTTTGCGGACGGCATAACCCAATTTAAGTAATATTTGGCAGAGATGAAGAAACCTTGCAGTTCCTTTGAAAGACCCTTAAGCAGCATTTGCTCGTGGCATGACAAAACTGCGCTCGACTAAAGCGCGCCCGATTAAACCGCGTCGCTGACGTCATCAACAGGGCGACAACAGCCAGCGCGGAGAAAGAAGGNTTTTAATGATGTATTGTCTTTATGTGTGTATCTTGCTTTGTTCTTCCCTCCCCCTGGATTGTGAGCCGCCCTGAGTCCCCCCAGGAAAAAGGGCGGCATATAAATAAAGTAAAATCCTAAATCCTAAATCCAATTAGGAAGCCTCCCCCAAAGTCAGTTCAGACAGATGGGCTGCCCGGTAAGGTAAATGTCACTCTCAGCCCCTAAAAAATTGAGTGCGCTATTGGGTATTCAGCTCTGCCAAGACATTAAAACAGTCAATCCCCATATATCTTCCTTAAGGCTTTGGATTTCATTTCTCTAGCAATAGAAATAGCACTTAGACCTTCATGCTGATTCATTGTCCTTCACAGCCCTCTCTAAGCCGTTTACAAAGTCCCAAACAATCTGGGGCCTCATTTTACTGGCCTCTGAAGGCTGGAAGGCTGAGTCAACCTTGAACCAGTCAGGATCGAACTCTTGGCTGTGGGAAGAGTTAGCCTGCAATACTGCATTCTAACCATTTCCTCACCACAGCTCATTCTTTCCTCCCTCCTTCCCTCTCTAAGTGATTTATAATGTCAGCCTATTGCCCCCAACAATCTGGGTCCTCACTTTACTGACTTCTGAAGGCTGGAAGGCTGAGACAACGGTGAGCCCGTTAGGATCGAACTCCTGGCTGTGGGAAGAGTTAGCCTGCAATACTGCCTTCTAACTGTGCCACCACATCTTCCTTCCTTCCTCCCTCCCTCCCTCCCTTCCCTCCCTTCCTTCCTTCCTTCCTTCCCTCCCTGATTTATAATGTCAGCATTTTGCCCCCAACAACAACTTCGGAAGGATGGAAGGCTGAGTCAACCTTGAGCCAGTCAGGATCGAACTCTTGGCTGTGGGAAGACTTAGCCTGCAATACTGCATTCTAATCACTGCACCACCATGCAGTGGCTAGACTGTAATATATTCTACAACTGTGAGAGCCTGAAGGAGGCAAATTGGTCGATTCCTTGCTACACGTTGAAAAGAGTCTAGTTTCTGTAAAACTTCTCCCTAAATCACAAGAGAATATATATACAAGCTGATAAAGGAGGAGAGCCTGTGGTTTAGTGGCTAATATAACTGCCTAATATGTAATACAGCCCAGGTTCGATTCCC